GTATTGTTGGATTGAAGAATGGGGACAACGGGGATAAGAGACGTGTGTGTGACATTTTTGAGATCCGAACCAAATTCAGTTTTATTTATTTTTAATCAAGCAGAAATCATTTTCATTGTAGTCTGAACTGGATTTAACCAGTGGGTTTTGTATTGCCATTGAGGTAATCTCTCTTTCTCTCTCTCTCTCTCTCTTTTTTTTTTGGTGGGAATTAAGGTGATGAACCAGTAGTCAATATCCTTTTTTTTTTCTATATAACCAACGTATAATAAAATTTGCACATTTTTTTTTTTTTTATTATTAATTTATATATATATATATACATGTGCCCGTCTGTGAAATAACGTTTTACCGTTTTAATACACAAAACAGACTACAATAATAATAATAATAAAGGTGAATCGTATGTATTATTATTATTTATAAAGTTCAATATGATCATTATTATCTGTTTTAACGGATTGATATATATTTATAATTAAGGTTAAACGTGATTTAAAATATATCGGTATAAAACACGTTTATTTATCTTTTAAAAAAAAAAAAACAAAATGGAATCTGTTGTCACGCATGAAACAATAAAAAAAAAAAATTTTCTCAAAGAGAGGGAGGGAGAATGTTAATAGAATCGTGATTATAACAACAGAATTTAAAATAATAATATTTATTATTAATTTTTTTCTTAATCGATAAAAAATCATTGACATTTTATTATTATTATTATTTTAAAAAATGTGTTTAATAGGTAGTTTATTTAATCAAATAATTTTTAAAAGCGGGAGGTATCTAATAACAAAAGTAAACAGGTATTAGGTGTGTGTGTACCTAAAAGTAAACATTTTCTAACAAATTTTAACAGCTTCTGTTACTTCCCTCCCCTCCCTCGCCTTTTTTGGTGACAAAATCTTTGTTTGTGGACATAAATAAAAGTAAAAATATGAAATCATTTCCGTGTATTTAAATAAAAAAATAGAAATTTGATATAAAAGTTTATAACGGGGTTGAAAAAGAAAAGAAAAAAAGGTTGAGAAGAATTGAATTTAAATCTGCCATATTGCTGAAATCCTTGCGGGAAAAAAAAAAAAAAATTTTTATTGTAAAAGAAATAAAAGAGGAAGAAGATAAAATAAAAGGAGAATTATTTTACGTTGACTCAAAATGTTGGGATATAATCATCGTTTTGTATCTGTTTGATGAAAATTGATTGTGCAGAAACAATGTTTACTAGGGGGTTGTTTTCTCACTTACCCCCGTAAATATTTTTTTTTTAACGTTAATAATACGCGTTTAAAAAAAAAATAAATCAATAAAGATTTTTTTTTTTATTTATTTTTTCTGCGGAGAGAGAGAGAAAACAATCAATCTCCGTTTATTGTTTTTAATTTTTTTTTTTTTATTAAGAAAAAATAAATAAATAAACATATTTATTATTTATATTTTTTTTTAAATTTATACGTTTAAATAAATAAAAAAAAAAGTAAAATAAAGGCTAAATGTAGGATTAAAAATGAAATGATGAAGTAGTGGGAGTGAAGTATGAAGAACGCACACACACACACAACAACAACAATGGCATCACTCGTGAGGCATTGTTAATATAAGAGAACAATAAGAGCCATTGTCAAAATGAAACAATAGGACATCGACCAACGACCAAACACTCAATGGTAAGGTCAAAGGAAAAACCGTTTAGATTAACCCATGTTTTTCCTATTTTTCTCCGAATTTTTTCTCTCTTTCTGCACAATAAATAAATTTCAATTCAATTCGTTTTTTTTTTTTTGGGTTTGGTGTTAAAAAATAAAAATGTCGACATTTTATTGCTATTTATACGGGATACGCACCCACCCCCCGAATTGAAAAACAATAATTAATTTTATATGATAATTAAAACGAGTGAATGGGGGGAAGGTGCGGGGAGTGTGTGTGTTTGTATTTATATATATGTTACGTAGATTTATCGTCATCAATAATAATAATTTAAAAAAAAAAAAAATTACAAAATAAAAAAATTTCGTTCGGGGTAAAACTCGTTAAGTGAACTCAATAAACGACGCACTATTTATTATTATTATTATTAAAGATTTGCAATGGGGTCATTAAAAAAATTTTTTTAAATGTAATTTTTTATAATCTTGAACTCGAGTAAAATAAAGAGGTTTTTTTTTTTTAAGAGCTCTTATTCTGGTTTTAAAAATTAAAAAACTTATTATTATTATTATTACTGCGCATTGTAAATTTTTTTTCTTTATTAATGAAATTAAAAAAAAAAAAATTTAGGTTGCAATCAAATGACGTTTTTCTTGTTTTTTTTCCATTACTTTGCAAAATTTAAATTTACAATTAAAGGCAATAAAAAAAATGAGGGGGAGAGAGAGAGAAAATTTGTAAGAATTCTCTCTCTTAGGTTACAAGTTAAATTTTATAAATTTAAAAATGTCCGATTCATATATATTTTAAATTTGCATTTATATATATAAATATAAAAATAGTTTTTTTTTCAGACAATGGCTCCTCGTTGTCTAAGAATTAAAAAAAAATTTTTTTTTTTGGGAGTCTGGCTGGATGTTTGAATGTAAGGTGAAGGCGATGGGCCCTCCTACGGTGATTCTTATTAAAATGGGGTGTTTGACGACCTGTGGGGATCACACATATAAATATATTTATACCTCGTAACCAAAACAAAAAAAAATTTTATGCTTTTTATTTGCTATGACCAAATATTAAAAAAAATTTTTTATGGCAAGAATTTTAAATAGTTACCATTTCTTCTCACAAAATCCTTTTGGTTTTTTAGAGAAATCTATAGTAATTATTAATAATAATAATAAGTAAATGAAAATTCATAAGTAAAGGTGTTCAATCAATTTAAATCGATTTGTTAAAGAGGGTTTGAAAAAAAAAACCGTCCGTCCGTCCGTTCGCTCGTTCGTTCGCTCGCTTGGGGATTCAACACAAAAGTGGGAAATAATTAAAAATTGAATGGGGATTTTTTTTTTTTTTTATTTTTCACTCGTAGCGTACAACCACCCTTTTAATGTGTGAGATCTTATATTACAATGTTTTAATAATCATTCATTGGCAATACGTGAAACAATATGCTGTTTGTTGATGACTCCCCCCTCGTAAAAATCTCGTTTGTCAGAAATCGTATTTATATTTAGGGTTGAATACACATATTCATGGTTGAATTGTAATATTCGCATTTATTACTTATTATTATTATTATTATTATTGAATTTATGAAAAAAAAAATCTTTTTTTTAAATTAAAGTTAAAAGTTGGGATTTTTTTCTTTCTTTCTTTATTGTCAATTAATTAATTGAAGAAAAAAAATATAAACACACAGGTAAGGACATTATTATTATTATTATTATTATTATTAAATTTGGAGGAAAAAAAACACGTGTGGTTGTGACCTTTTGTAAAAATCGCGCCTAAGATTAAAAAAAAAAAATCATAAACAAACCGGGAAAAGTCTATTTTGAAAGGCAACCAATTATTTTGATAAATATATTTGCTTCCTGTATCGATCTTCCGCCGCCCATTTCTCTTTTTAAATTCTCTCTTTTGCTATTCCTAATGCTTTCTCTCTTTTCCTTTTCTTCTTTCTCCCTTTTTTTTTTTTTTGTTGTTGCCTATTCTTATTTCACCCTTTTGTATTCCCTATTTTCTTTTCCTTTTCAATTTTTATGTATATACAAAACCACTCCAAATGGAAACATATTCTGCATTTATTTCATTATTATTGTTGTTGTTATTTCTTTTATCTCCTTTTTTTATCCCACCATGTTGACTATATTTTTTCAAATTCATCCGTAGGAAAAAAAAGGAACGGATTTTTTTTTTTTTTGTTATGCCCTTCCGCCTACGCGACGTTTTTTTTTTTTTTTTAAAAATCAATAACGCGTTTTCGTTAACATTAAAACTTTTAAGTACAATAAAAAAAAAAAAAAAATTTTTGATTTTTAACACAAGAAGAAAATATTCATAATTTTTAATTTCCAAAAAAAATTAAAACATGGATGATGTAATTATATTAATAACAGAAAAAAAATAAATAAAAAAAATTTAAATTCTAACAATAAAGAAAAGTTTTTATTATTTGTGAAATTTTAATATTATTATTATTGTTATTGATTATTTTCTATGAGAAAATATAAACTTTTTCCATTAATTAAACATATTAATATAACATTTATTAAAAAAAAAAATTATTATTTAAATATAACAAATGTTACTATCATGCAGATTATCATTATTATAGTAAACATATTAATAGTAATATTTTAAATTATAAAATTGACTCCCCTCCCTCCCTCCCCCCGTAAAATACTCAGAGCTATCTTTTTTTTTAAACAATTCTAGTGTGGTATCAATTATTAAATGATATTTTTTTATTATTAAAAAAATTATTTATTTATTAAGTTTTTATTATTATTTTTTTATTCATTCATTCATTCGCAATAATAATAAATTTTATTTAAAAATCAAAATTGATTTTTTCAACCCCCTTTTTTTTATTACACCCTGTTAACACGTTTATATGAAAAATATATAACTCAAAAATTCAAATAAAAAAAGTAAAAAATATTTGTAATGATAAATCATTTAAATGTGGGTGTGGGGGAGGTGGGGAGGGGGCTTGGATTAATAAATAATTTCAATTGTGGTCATATAAAAACAATCCCAGGGAAAATTTTACAAGAGATTTTATTGTTTAGAAACATTTTATATAGATTTAATCTTTTTTTTCAGATTTTCAAAACATTCATGAGAAACTACAGAAGAAAAGGAAAAAAAATTAAAATTTTTCAAAATGGCGAAATATTTAAAAAAATTTCGTATACGATTACTGTCGAGAGAAAAAAGAATTATTTAAGTACATATAATTATAATATTAAAAACAAAAAAAATTACGTTTTTTTTACATAAATATATATATATATGTACACATAAATTCTGCCGGATATTATTAATATAATAATAAATTACAGGTATTATATCTATTAATAATAATAATAATATAATAAACAATAATTATAATACAACAGGAATAGGTCTCCTTAATTTTTCAAGGGTTACATCATCCTCCCCGTCCAAAACTGAACCATTGAATATAAAACCTTTTTTTTCATTTAAAGTTTTCAGTGAAATTTTTTGTTTATCTTCAAAAAACATTGGAGGGGGCAACAAAAAAGGTGAAACCGGTGTCGAATGATACTGAAAAAATTTCCTTGATGAAGAAGAATTTTCCGAATACAGAGATGGAGGTGAAAATGAATTGGCAGAAGCCGAGTTGGTCGTGGAAGAGTCTGTTTGCTCGGTGATTTTTTGATCCTGATTAAAGCTCGTTATTTGACCGGAAACGATTTTCGAAAGATGAAATGCGTCCAAAGCCGTATTGAAATACGTTGATAGGGAAGAATGATCCGAAGGTTGAGATTTGAAAGGTGCAAAGTATGGAAAAGCGTAATTCTGAACCGCGTCGGGCGATTTGCTTTGTTTTTGCTGCTGACACGTTTTGGGTTTACGTCGAGGTTTGTATTTGTAACCCGGATGTTCTATCATGTGTGTGACTCTCAGTCTCTTTGCCTCGTCGATATACGGTCGCTTTTCTATTTCCGTAAGTAATTTCCACTCGGCACCAAGTCTTTTAGATATTTCCGAATTGTGCATTTTCGGATTGTCGAGGGCTATTTTCCGCCTTTGAATTCTTGACCATACCATGAAAGCGTTCATCGGTCTTTTTATGTGAGCCACCTCACTTTGGGACAGGGTATCGTGACTCGGTTCTATCCGTATACCGAATAGATATTCGTTAGACATGTTCCACGTCCGACGACGCAGGTCACGCACAAAAATTCACAATAAACACATAAACATTATCATTTGTGATAAGACGGCCGTGATGTGTAAATTGGTTGCTACTACTACTACTCGCTCAGGTAGACTTTATCAGACTGAGAGGAAAAGCTTGACGAAAGTTCGAGAAGAAAGAAAGGGTGGAGCTCTCGGCGTTCTGCCTACGCACCAATCATTAAAAAGATTTTTTTTTAAACTCCGCCTTTTTTCTCCCCCCATCCCTCGATTCTTGTTAACATTTCCTACGTGTTTTTAAAATAACACACACACACACATACACACACGCATACACATACGCAAGCACACATATATGTATGTATGTATATGAATTTACATATGTATAATACATACATGTATTCGATGGAATTTGCCATTCGACTAATCGTTAAACAATCATTGTATAAAATTCCAATGGAAAATATATAAAATTTTCATACTTTTCATCTATTTTTTTTTTCTCATTAATGGTATTTTTAAAGAAATTTAATTTTTCCATACAGATTATTGATAAGTTATGAAAAAAAAGTAATTCGTGTAGGACCAAATAAGGAAAAATCATAAAATTTAAAAAACCCCCCCAAAAAAAAAATTTGACAATAATATTTGGACAATTGACGTAACCGAAAAAAAAATCCAAGTTTAACCCGTTATTGATTATTAAAAACTAAATAAAAATATTTCATAATAACAATTCAGATTAATTAAATAAATAGGATGCCTAAAAAAAAAAGCATACCTGAGTCGGTTAAAAGAAAAACAGTATAAAATTAATTAAATTAAAAACCAATTAGAAATTAAAAAAAAAAAATTAACGACGTGTAATTTTTTTTTCTTTTTGTTTCACCCTCGTTTATTTTTTAAAAAAATTTTACCCTAAATTTAACTATTGAACGAGATCTCGAGGGTCACTCAAGTACTCAGAAAAGTTTAAAAAACAATCAGCAGGTCTCTTTAAAAAAAAAAAAAAAGGGAGAAATTATATTATTAAGTGGTGGTCCAGAGGCTGTAACATAACATCAATCAATTTCTTATCCCACGGTAATTAATATTATTATTTAACATAAAAAAAAAAACATATTCATTCAATTATTTTATGGTTGAATTATCATTAACTATTATTCAAAAATATGCACATGTCCTTATATACTTTTTTATACATTATATTGAAGTTGAAAAAAAAAAAAACAGTAAATTTAAAAAGGAAATAAAAAAAAAGGAAAATAAGAAAATTGATTTTTGTCTGGGAAATCCATTTATTACTATAGTAAATAGTTAAAAAAATAAATAGGTGGTAATAAAAGGTAAAAGATAGCCTTGCTGACGACTTGTTATGTTTCTCGGGGGACCTAAAATCCATTTAATTTACATATTACCTGAAAATGCTTTCAATAATTAATGTGATGTGAAAAACTCATTCAAATCCTTTCATCACATTTTATTTATTTTCATTTATTGATTTTTTAACATTTAAAAAAATAAATAAATTATTTAAAAATTTTTTTTTCGTTTGTTCGGTTCAATCAACGATTTTTGCGTGCGATACCAATTACATAAGAATTAAAAAAATATCATTATTATTATTAATAATTTTTTTTTTCATCAGTTTTTGGCATTTTTTTTTTTTTTAAATATGTCGAAGTGGCGCCTCATTCTAGGAAAAAAAAAAAAATCTCGACTGTTTAAATGTGAATGGAAGTGACAGATATTAAAAAAGATTTTTTTTTCACACTGCCACCCTCACCCCCACTCCACCCACCCCCTCTTTGGAAAATTCCTCATATCAAAAGGCATTTTCCCTTCTGTTTGCATTAACTTTCATGTTCTGGACGTGTTTGTGTCATAAAAACAAAATTCAATACAAATTTAGAATTAAGATTCCATTTGAAAAAAATCTTTTAAAATACTATTTTAAGTGTTTTTATTTTAAAAAACCTGCGGGGGAGGTAGGGGGTGGGGGTGGATTTACGATTAAATTTTTTAATGTGATGAGAAAAATAATAAATAAATAAATAAATATGTAAAATTATCAGGAAATAATAATTATCATTTTACCCCCTCAAAAAAAAAAAAATATTTGTAAAAGTTTTAGGGGTCCTTAACCCCCCACTAATAATAATAATAATAATACTAAAATTTTGTTTTTCCACGTTTTTTTCCTTTTGCATTACTTGTTAATCATTAAAAATTAAAAAGAGGAAGATTGAAGTGAGTTTTTTTTTATTAAAATTGTTAATTTTTAACATAAAAACTTAACGGAATGGTGCACAAATAAAAAAGGGGAAAAAAAAGGTTGCTGTAGCAGCCCAAGAAAAATCTCCCCTCCCCCCTTCTTTTTTTTTTTGTTCTACGAATTTCCATTTTATTAAAATTTTATTCACTTTTTTTTTTCAACAACTTATTAGACGACAGATTTTATAAATTTTAATTATTTATTATTATTATTATTTAATTGATGTTTTTTTAATTAGTTTGAGTATAATTATTAATAATCATAATAATAATTATTATTTTTTTATTTGTTTATTGTAAATTAATTTTTATTAGAAAATTAACTTTAAAAAAAAAATTATTTTCGTTTGATTTAATTTAAATACTACTCGTCGTGTATACAATAGAAAAAAAATTTAATAATAATAATAATAGGAAATGATTGTTCGAGTAAACAAACGGAAAATGTCCTAATAATATTAAAAATGTTATAAAATAAATAAATAAATAAATAAAAGAAAATTTTTATGGTGAAAATCGTAAATCATTTTTTAATCACAGATTTATTACTTTTTTTATAGTATATCAAAAAGAGAGAGAAAGAGAGAAAACTATTTTTAATTATATTTTTACCAATAAAAATTTAATAATTAAATTTTAGGGTAAAAAAAATAAAATAATAATAATAATTTTATTGTCGCGGATAGGGAAAGAGAGGCAAATTTGAAATCAATTGATCCCCCCCCTCAAAAAAAAAAAAAATCATTTCATCATTTTTAATATGGCTTCCGTTTTGTGTGTGTCTGTTTATTGATATTATTAATTATTATAATAATATTAAATAATAGTAATTAATGTTATTACGTCACAAAGAAACATTAAAAAAAAAATTGAATAGGTGGGAAAAAATAATTTATTTTTTCCTTTTTATTCAATTTTATTGTGTTTTTTTTTTTACAATAAATTAAACAAAATCCGATTGATGACTTCACTGTTTTTTTTTTTTTTGAATAAATATCAATTTCCTTTGGCATTGTTAGGACACAAAATCTAATTTTTTCCTTTGTTGTGTGAAGCTGCAGGTAAATCTTTTTAGCACTTGTGACGCTTCCTATTTTATTTTATTTGTTTTTTTTTTATTTTAGATAGAAACGGAAGCCCAATAAAACGTTTTTTTTTTTTTTTCTATTACTTTTTATTTATAAATACACATCATATCTGTGTGTGTGTGTGTGTGTGCGTGCGCGCCTTTTTTTTAAAGTGAAAAATAATAATTAAATTTTCTTTTTTTGATAGATTCAATCATTTTTCATAAAGAAAAATTATTAAATTTCATGCTTATTTTGTGGATTAATTTAAAGTTTAATTTTAACAAATATTACTTTTAAAAAAAAAAAAATTAATAAACCGTGTGTTTATATAGTTTTAAAAAAAACCGTTAATTAAAAGATTTTTTTTTTTTTAATTAAATATATAAAATATTTTCTTTACCTTAAATTAAACGAAGAGCGATCACAAAATAAAACACAACTTTGGCTTGTTAAAACAGTTATGAATATAATTTACAACAAACAGAGACACCTATCGGAAATACGATTAAACTAAATTTAAAAACACATTGTAGATGTCGCTGTTTATCAAATTTTTCTTTTTTTTTTAATTTTAAATTTAAATTTAGTAAATAGAAACCCCATTTTCCATCATTTTTTACATTTTATTTTTAATAGTAATATTAATAAATAAATTTTTGTTTAGATATTAAAATTTTACTATTTTGTATTTTATAAAGTGATGTATGAGATAAGTTTTCAGCGGATTAATACACGTAATATTGTTTATTGAGTTAGTATGAATTTTAGGTCCACTTTAAGCCTCAATAGGGCTAAAACTTACTAGATCACTAGTAATGTTTAGCTAATGATGAGTATGTGAGATGATCTTACATGAATTATATCTCGCGCCTTCGACTTACTTTTGTAAGCAGGAGGATTTCTGAATTTGGGGTTTATATTTTTTATATAAATAGCTATCATAGGTGAAAAACATAGAATCCTGGTTTTAATGTCATAGAGAAAGTAAAACGGACTTTTAGTCTCTAATAAATTGATAATAAAAATCTACAAGATTTGGCAAAATTTTAAAATACACCACAACATTCATAGATTTTATTAACGAACCAATTAGTAAAAAACAAATTTAATCCATAGTAATAAATATTATTATTATTATCATCTACTTAGTTTAATTAGAAAAGATTTAAAGTATGCATTTAACCGCATAAGGTAAAGTTGTAACAATTATTGATTTGTTTTGATATAAAAATATTAAATTAGTTTTATATGTCAACTTAATTTTGGTTAAAACCACTTCCGGTGGAAATTTTGTAAATTAATAAAATTTTTCCCCTTTACACCTATTTATTTGAATAACATATTTAATTTTAAAATAAAACAAAAAATTTTTATGCCGTTTTAAAAAGTGTTTTAAAGTTTGCAATTAGCTTGATTTTCACATGCGATTTCCTTAATTTTTTTCCAAAATGTAAAATTTGCTCTTTCGTCGAAAGTTTTCTGAGTTAAATTAAAATCAATTTCCATGTAGGGTAATTTATTTTTAGAAATCGGAAGCCAATCATTCGAAGATGGGTTACCAAATTTAGCAAAATCCGTCCATATTTTCGTTACCATTTCCATAACTTTGAAATCTTTCGAATCGGGTATAATTGTAGATTCAGAAATGTAATGTTTGAACAAGTAACTAACTTCGTCTCCGTGACAAGTACCTAAAAAACATCCCCAATTATAAAAACTTAATATTGAAATTTTTATAAAATTATATAATTATTATACTCGCCTTTCCAGTCGTGGCATCCTAATAATTTTTTCAACGTAAAAGTTTCACCATCGTAAGAAAATTTGTAAACAAATGTCGGATTATTTGTTTTTCCAGAAAAAGCAGAATGATACTCGATAACTTGATTAATGCCGTTTAAAAAATATATATCAGAAAGAGCCTGAAAAATTTGAAAAATTAATTAGCCACAAGGTAGTAAAAAATAAAAAAAAATAATAATAATAATAATAAAAATCTCACATTTATTAAATTTTTTTCTTCGAATCCATTTGGAAAATAATAATTTTCGATTCTTTTAATTATTTCTTCTGATGTATTTGTTCCCGGTTCGACATTTAAATTTTTCGGAAGTAATTTATATAAATTATCTTTATAATTTTCTTTATTGATTATTTTATCACCTAGAAAAAAAAAAAAATTAATTATAAACCTATAAATATTAATTATTTTGTAAATGAAAACAAAAAAAAAAAAAAAACCAACTTTTTAATGCAACCATAATGAGGCCCTCTAATGTGTTAAAACCAATTAGATAAGGTACATCAATTTTTTCCCCTTTTAAATAAAAATCTTCTGGATGATTTGTTAAAACTGCTTCTTCAGATTCTGGTTCTATGCATGGAAGAAAAGCATTTTCCAAGAAATATTCGTCAATCTGTAACAAAAATATAATTTTTTTTTTAAGTTACATTTATAAATTGTTTGATAATATTTATTTTCTTGTCTCTTTTTAATAAAATGATCCTATGATAATAGTTTTACCTCAACTTGTTTTAAAACGTGTCTTCCTTCTCTTATTATTAATTCTGCACTGACTCCTCTTAAAAATTTTAATAATTCATCATCGTCTGATGTTTTACATCCAAGAACTTCTCCCAATTGAAATGCACATTCTCTGGGTTTCCTACATAAAGCCCATGGATTTATTGCCACTCCCGATTGTAATATGGCCTTGTGGAAAAGTCCTTTTGCAGCTTTAGAAATAGACAAATAATGAATAGCAGCTCCACCGGCACTTTCTCCAAATAGTGTTATATTGTCCGGGTTTCCTCCAAATTTTGAAATGTTTGTTTTACACCATTTCAATGCTAAAATAATGTCTTTCAAACCGTTATTTCCAGGGCATTGTTTCGTTTGAAGACTTAAAAATCCTAAAATTTCACATGGTTTCATCAATAAAAAAATTTTTTTTTTTTTTTTTTTTTCGTTAAGTATCGGAATATAAATATGTATAATAAATAAAATTCAATTAAAATATAAATAATAATTTTTTACCCAATGGGCCTAATCGATAATTAATAGTTACAAGAACTACATTTTCGGTTATTAAATAATCAGGACCGAAAAAATCAGTGTTTCCTGATCCTGTATAAAAACCTCCTCCGTGAATCCAAAACATAACCGGAATTGAAATGTCTTCTGATTTGTTCGAGGGTACCTGATAATAATAAATTTTATATTATTGATAATTTTTCTGCAATACGTACATTAGTATATTATTTAATAATAATAATAATAAATAAAAATACTTTTGGCGTGTAAACATTTAAAAACAAACAGTTTTCATCTTGAGTTGGTTCAAAACGGTCTAAAAAAAAATTAAAAGATGGTGCAACCGGTCCTTCGGCTAATGCGTCTCTTATTCCTATCCATGGTTTAACCGGTAGAGGAGCCTAAAACGTATTCAAGTACATTCGTGTCAGACATATTAAAAATAAAATTTTTTTTTATTTTTACTCACCTTAAATCGCAAATCACCGATGGGTGGTTCTCCATACGGGATACCTTGAAAACTTATAAAAGAACTTTTATTATTTCTCGCAGAAACACACATTTTTCCACGAATGAATCCATTTGAAGTTTCTAAAACAACTTGTTCAAAAGGCATGATCACGATCACAGCTGTTTACTTTCGTCCCTCTCGTACTTATAATATAATCAATCAAGGTCATTTAATTGTTGAACCTCATCGATGTTGCCAAATTTATATATTTCCATCTTTGACTTTGACTCATTATATATTTATTTATATATATATGTATATATTTACATGTAAAAATTAAAAGTTTTAAAAAGTTTATATTTTTATAAAATGTAAAAAATCATATTGAATCAAATATAAAAGGGTTTTTATATATATTATCATCATCTTTTTAAACTTAATTAAATGCTTTTGATAATTAATTGAATTTTAAACTCACAGTAAAATTAATTGAATTTTTACAGATAATAATAATAACTTATTATTATGATTTTATAAGTTTGTAAAAAATTTTCCTTATCATTATATGCAAATGTCATTTTAGGTTTGAGAAAAATAAAAAAAAAAAAAACTATGATCACTTATCTTAAAATGAATAACAATTATTTTTTATTATTTTTTATTTGCTCCTAGTTTATTTTGTTTTAAATAATAAAAGTAAAAAATATACTGAAATTTATATAAAAACAACAAAAATTAATAATAGGTCATATTAAGACTTATTATTATTATTATTATTATTATTATTATTATTATTATTATTATTATTTTGTTTGAAAATAAATCAAATTTTATTTACCAAAAACAAAAAAAATTTTTTTTTTTTTTTAAATTTGTTGTGTAAACATAATAAAAAAAAAAAATATTCGAGAAAAAAAAAATAGTGTTAAAAACAGTGTAAAGTAATAAAAAACATTAATACTGGAAGCCATTTTGTGTAATTATTTAAAGAACCTCTTGTTGAATTTTCCAAAAAACCTTCTTTCGAAGTAATCATATATTCATCAAATATATTTTTACGAATTGTATTTTTATCAGATATTCGTAAATATGGTCCATATTGTTCTGTTATTGGTGGCCATTTTTTATTTGAATCACTTGGAGCCCTTTAAAAAATGAATGAATTTTAATATTAATAAATATTTATTTAATTTTAATATTATATAATATATATTTACCCGGTCGTTATAAAATTTGTCCATAAAGTTGACATTGTTCGAGCCATTTTTAATTCTCTTGAGGTATAATTGAATTTATATAAGGGAAATAAGTAGCCAAGCTCGTCAGAATGTGCAACACCTAAAACAAAAAAAATTTAATTTTTTTTTTTTCCGAATTAAATTACTTGATTCCTTTTTTTTGTAAAATGAAAATGTTTTAACCTGCAGGAAGAGGATCGGAATTAATCCAAGAAGGATCCGAAATACGTAGCTTTGATACGTTTCCATAAAAATTAAACGAATAAGCATAGGTTGGAACGTGATTGGAAAGATACCTTAAATTTTCAAATGTTGATGCTTTTAAAAGCCAGACTCCGCATATCTGAAAAAAAAATTTTTTATTTTTATTTTTTAAATTCATATATTGCCCGAAGAACAAATAAAACGGGGGAGAGAGGAGGGGAAGTATATGATAAAAATAACAAAATTATATTTACGTCTACTAAACCAGGCATAACTTCTTTAAATGATTTTTTTTTATCGGTAAAATAAATATTATGTAAGTAATCGGCCATAATTCCAAGATTCTCTCGAAAACCTCCGCAAAAATAAAGAATGTCTCTCGTAACGTTTCCATTGTAATAATTCGTATCATTTATTTTGTTTAAATTATACCCGTAATAAAAACCTTAAAAAAAAAACCTTAAAAAATAAATAAATAAATAATTATAATTTTTAGATTTAAGTAAAAAATAATTTATACCGGCAACGAAAGCAGAACCTTCTTCTCTTGTTATTCCTCCCATTATTGGAATTTTAAGAAATTTTCCTTTACTAAATGATACCCTTGGATGTTCTTCTAAATATTTTTTAGTACCTGCTTTTTGTACGACTAAACTTGTACCACACCTAGCCATGTCTTTGGTCTGCATGTAAAAAAATAAAAAAACAGTTTTTTTAATACTCTATTAAATCAACGATCAAAATATTCAATTAATTATTATTATTAAACATTTATTTTATTGTAAAAGGGAATATTTAAATATAAGAGATTAATTTACAATTTATTATACCCTTTATACTTTTATATATATATATAATTATAAAAATATGAAACTAACTTCAAGTTGAGTGTGAGCACTTATCAAATCATCAACTTTAGCATCGTAAAAACATTTAATAACCTCCGATATTTCATCACTTTTACATTTAAGATTTTTGCCATAATCATAGCAGATTTTGATGGATTTTCGTCCACTGCCCATAAACTCAATGCAGAACCACTTTGAATAATCATTTTATGAAAAAGATCTGTCGAAAAGCATCATCATCATCATCATCATCATCCTTTACAGAGTCAGATTTTAATTTTTTATAAACAATAATTATTATAAATTATTTAAAAATAAAAAGTATAATTTACCTGGTGTGACCAGGGGTGATACAAGAAGAGAACTTGCTGCTGCTGCTCCAGCACTTTGTCCAACAACGGTTACGTCAGATGCGTTACCATTAAAATATTTTATATTTTCTTTAACCCAATTTAATCCTAATATTATATCTAACATTCCGGCATTTCCGGGTATTTCGTCGACTTCGAGCGAAAGAAAACCTGCAATGTTAAATATTAGAGAAATAATATTTATTATAACTGCATCAATAGATTTTTTTAATAAATATAATTACCTAAAATTCCGAGACGGTATTGTACAACAACTAAAACAATATTTTTTTCTAGAAGAAAATCAGGTAAAAAATCATAAGCGGATCCAGCGTAAAAGGATCCTCCGTGAATGTAATACATAACCGGAAACAAAGGACCGTCCGGCGGTGTTATCTGAAAAACGGTTTAATTATCAATTAATTTAATTTAATTTTTTTTAAAACGTTCAAATATTGAAAATAAAATTAACGAACCTTGGGAGTGAAAACGTTAACGACCAAACAATCTTCAACATCTTCCTTCACATCTAACTCGTCTGGATCCAATGGAGGATAAAAAGAAGATGGAGCTTGTGGACAATTTTGTCGCATTTTAGTTGCATCGTAAATACTATCTTTCCAAGGTTCATATTTTTCAGGAGGCTGTAAATTTAATGATATTGAATTAGTTACGTCACAGAGAATAATAATGTCTGATTAATTTTATACGTATTGGTTGTCGAACGAATGACCGCTAACGGTTAACAACAAAAAAAAAAAAAAGTTACAATAAAGCCTCGTTTAAACAATTCTTATTGACATTGAATACGAATTTAATAAATTATACCGCACGTACACACATAATTTTTTTTTTTTTTTTTTCAACAGCTTAAAAGAAAATTTTTTTTTTGTATTATTTTAACCGCGACGTATAAAAATTTGTTCAATATACGTACCTGAAATCTTTTAGTTTTCGATGGTGATTTAGCATAACTGATTCCCAAAAAATGATATATAGGCCTATGAGTGAAAAATGATTTTCCAACTTTTCCTTTTATTTTACCCAAAGTCGGTACATTAACCGTTACAAATTTATTCTCTTTAGATTCAACGGTAAAACAATAATTTAATAAATAAATAAATTGAAATAAAAATAAAAATTTTAAAAATTGAAGATGCATTTTTATGTCGACACTTGTTAATAATCAAAATAATATTGATTAAGGTCGAACCTTATTTTTATTACAATTAAAGGGTATTAAAAAAAAAAAAAATTTTTTTATTTGTAACTTACGAAAAAAAATATTTATAAATGAAAAATAATTTTAAAAAATCACAAACTTTTTGAAGGAAGAAAATTAAAATTAAATATAATTAAATGGGAAAACGATATAGTCCGCGCACAAGACATTAACTTCAATACAGATAGAAAAAGGTAATAAAAATCTCTCGGCCTCTGTAACAGGATTACTGATAATAACTTAATAAATAGACCACTCGACGATTCGGTTATGATGGTAAGCACAATCAGTCAGTACCGACTTAAGGAATTATTTGACAATAATACCAAAAGGGGAAAAGCTATACTTTAAATTTAACCACCTGTTTAATTACCAGAACTATTTTTTGTTTCCAAAAAAAAAAAATAAAATAAAAAAATTTTGTTTTAATCATTACACATTCTTTTTTTTTTTTTTTTTTTTTTTTTTTTTTTAATTGTTACTAACACGTGATATTAAATTTTAAATTTATTTTTAAATCAACATTTTTTTTGTTATTACAAAAATAATAATAATAAAAATATAAACAAAAAATGTGTCGCCTTGGTTATTACTTTTTTTTTTTTTTTTTTTTTGGAGAAAAACAAAAAAAAAAAAATTGTCAAAACGTCTTAGATTAAATAATATACAAACTTTTATATATTATTATTATTATTATTATTAACGATGTAATTTTGTATTTTAGTATTAACTCCGTCAATGAGCCACTTATTTATTTTTTTTTTTAATGCGATTCACAATAATAATGATAATGTCTTGATAGTCAGTTTCTATCTCAAGGATAAAATAATGATTTTTTATATATATAAAAAATTTTATCATATTATTATTATTATTATTTTTTTTTTTGCATTCTAATAAATTAAATTAATGGTTTCAAATCAATATTATTACAATTTTTAAAAAAATAAGTATTAAACATTATTAATATTACTTATAAAGTAATTTTTGTTTAAAGATGGCCGACACAATTTCCTTCTTATGTGGACAATTTTTTTTTTATTTTATGCTCATTTTTTATCTTATATTAATATATGTATATATAAAATAAACTTATAATAAAGTAAGTTTAAAGTAAATTTTTTTTTTTTTTTTAATTTGAAATCGTCGTCTGACCTGGAAAATTTTTGCACAAAACAAAAATGAGTTTTGCTTAAATTTGAGCGGTTTTTTGAGGTCACCATGGAGATAAAAGGCAATATAATTTACGTGTTTCTTGTAATTTATGAGTTTTGGACTGTCACAAACAATCCTAAATAAATTTTCACTATAAAACCATTATATATATATATAATTCTTTAACTAGGTTTGAACCTATTTTGGGGGGGGGGGTTTTTTCTTCTTCCTTTGACTTTCAACTAGCTGCAATTTCAATTAAAAAAATATTTATTTAAAATAATGAATAAAGTATTAAAATAAAAATTTCCCATTTATTAAATTAACAACCCTTAATAATAATAATAATAATAAAACATTTAAAGTTTTATATATTAAATAAACTATAGAAATTATTTAAGTTTTTCAATGTGATTATTAACTGACTTGAGGATATTAATATTTCACAGTGAAAAAAAAACAAATTATAACTTTTAAAATATAAAAAATAATTTTAAAAAAAATCTTATATAATTTACATCTGATTTTAAAAAAATTCAATTAATTTTTATAGGTAAAATTTTATAACTTATGATACTAATCACATTTAACGAAAAAAAAAAACATAGAAATTATTTAATATCGATTAAAATTCAAATTATAATTCAAAAAGTTAAAAAAAAAAAAAAAAAAATTCTATTACCACGTCGTTTATTTTATTTTTAAAAAAAGGCGCATAATTTAAATAAATATTGATCGTGTCACATCCGTCGTCTCGATCGTCGTGATTTCTAATTACACTTTTATTTTTACATATTTATATTATTAACTCATTATTTAATTATTTATATAAAACTATTTTATATAAATTTTTAAATAATTATTTTATCGTTAAATTTTTAATATTTTTTAAGCATAAATTCTTTTTTATTTTATGCATACATTATTATTTTCATAATAATTATTGTTTATGTCAATTGATAAAAATAAATAATAACACAATTTAAACAAAAAAAATTTTCTTCTCATTGACATTGAAATATAATAATAATAATAATAATAATAAATGAATTATTAATAATAATTAATTTACAAAAAGGGTTCTTTTGAATTTAAATAAGAGAAAAATATAAATTTTTAATTTAATCGTTTAAACAACAATAAAAAAAAATTTTAATTAATATATTTATCATTTTCTTTTATTTATATATATTTTTCACCTGACATTTTACATAAATTATTAATTCAATTATCTTTTCATTTATAATTTATTTTTACATTTTTTACAATATTTTAATATTTTTATCAAATATTGTAAAATATTTGAAAACAAAGGAAGTGAATTTTTCTTTATAACTTTTTTTTTCTTCTATGTCATAAAAAACATGATAAAATTTACAGACATTAAACAAAAAAAAAATGAAACTTTTTAAGTTAAAAATGATAAAAAATCAAAAAAAAAAAGGAAAGAAGGAGGAAAAAAGGAAGAGGGTGAAAAAAGCATTTCTTTTAAAGATTGCAACGATTGCATTTTCCGGGATGATAGATGAAAAGAAGTTAAAGTTAGGAGCTAAGTGGTGGCGGGGGAAACAAAAAAAAAAAAAAAAAGAAAAATAGAAAGAAGGAAATAAAAGGAAAGAGGGAAGGAAAAGGGGGACAGGGGGGTCTTATGTACGCATGAGCTGGGGCCTCGGAAATTCACGGAGAGCACCAGTCAGTCGCTTTTCCTAAAGTTCATTAAAATCTTTGTAACTTTGTTTTTTGTGTTTGACTTTTTTCATTACAAAAAAAAAAAAATTAACATGGAAAGTTTTTTGTTTAATTATTTGAAAATTAAATTTTTGGTGTTATGAATAAAATAAACATAAGTTTTATTTATTATTATTATTTTTTTTTATGTGTGTGTGTCTGTGTGTGTTTGTTACTACAATTTATCGTCTTTTAACCCTGGAATCTTAAATATTAAGGTATAAATTAAAAAGAAAATATATTCAAAACTCTCTTTCATATTCATAACCCCCTTTTTTTTTTTTTTTTTTTGGTAAATTATTAACGAATTCAAATAAAATATTAATTAAATTAAAAGTTTTAAAAATACATCTAACACAAATTTATATATATTTTTTTTTAAAAACTTAATTTAACAAATTTTACAAAAATTATTACAAAGATAATAATGATTATAATTCATAATAAAAATAAATAAAATAATAAATAAAGAGCTTAAAAAAGAAAAATATGATTTAAAATTGTTAGCATAATAATAAGAAATTTATTGATTTTTTTTAAATATTATTATTATTATTATTATTATTATATTAAATAAATATTTGTATTATTATAAAGTAAAAGCTGAATAATAATAACTTATATTTATGAATTAAACTGAAAATCAATACATAATTATAATATTTAATAATACTCGACTTCATTTCATTAAAAAAAAAGTTATAAAAAAGTTTGTTTTAAAAAAATAATAATAAAGATTTAAATAACTAATTTATTATTAAAAAAAAAATAATAATAATAATATTTTCAAAAAAAATTTTTTTAAATTCAAAAAGTTTTAAGTATTAAAAAGTATTATTTTAAAAACAAAAAAAAAAAAAAAGAAAGGAAGGAAGAAAACACTTCAAAGTTTGAGTTGTCCAAAAAATAAAGTTTTAAACTTCTTATTAAATATAAAATATTAACATATTATTAAAAATTACAATAAAAACCTAATAATATTTGAATAATAAATCACAGGGAATTATATTTTTTACAACACAATCTTATGTGTTATGTTATTGATGAAAATTGATATTAATAAGTTTATTCGTTTCCATTAGAAATTATTTTAATGAAATTTTTCAATATGTTAGTTTTTTTTTTCGAAAGAAAGATAGAGAAAGAGAGAGAGAAAAGTTTAATAATAATAAACTACTTACTTTATTTATTTAATCCATTATTAATAACTTTTATCGGTTTATGCAACATCTGTAATGGTGTTAACACTAGTTTTTTTTTTTTTTTTTCCCAACATAAAACTTAACATTTTTAATAAATTTTTTGTTTGTGTGTGCATTGCATTTATTTAAAGGTAAAATTACTCATAATCATTTTAAAACTTTACTACTTCAATTAAAAGGTAATTTTAAATATTTAATTTATAAAAGATTAATTAAAAAGGATAAAAATTCAATTTTTAACTTTTTAAGTTATTCCCAACATTTTTTTAATTAGTTACTAGCTATCTTAATAAAAGTTTTAATAAATTTAACTTTATAATGCGTGATTATTAAAAAAAACGTATAAAGTATATTAATAGACTTTAATAAGTTAATTTTTAACAAAAAAAAAAAAAAAAGTTAAAACAATATTTTTAATAAAAGTAAACCTAAACGACATTACAAACGATTCAAACTTTAAAAGCAGATACCTTAATATACCATTTCGATGATTCAATTACAAAACGGTTCGAAATAAATATTTAAGTAATTTAACTTCATTATCTACAATTCAAATAAAAAATAGATTATTAATGTAAAATTAATTTTTCATTAATAACTCAATAACAGCACGATATAAAATTCACAAAAACATTATCACACACAAATCCCATAAAATCTTATTTGAAAGAATCGAGCCCACATTAAACTAACACAACGACTTGAGATTAATAACTAAGAAATCAAAGTTTGGCAACAACGCATAGCGCTTTCAAAGTACAAAAAAAAAAAAAAAACAACCAGAGTTATTAAATGATAGAGATTTTGTTTGAAATACAATATATATTTTTGTAAATTTTTGTTTTGTTTCGTTTTTTTTTGTCTTTTTAAAAAAAAAAAACTTAATAAGTTGCAAATAAATATTTAGTATTAAATTGAAAACCAGTCTTTTAAAAATTATTTTGTTAGTTAGAAAATATTTCGTTAGGTGCGCTGATTTTCTTTAGCTTCTGCTTTGTAAAAAAAAAAAATACATCAAAAGCAGGAAATCACAGTTAACATTTTGTCGCAAAATGCTAGGAAAAGTGTTTTATTTTGAGTAAAAAAAAAAAAAAAAAGAAAACAATAGGTTTATGTTTATTATGTTTAAATGTTTTCATTTTCGTTACCTTAAATATATATATAATTTTATATAAATGATTTGTTTTACTTTTTTACAAATTTCAAAAATTTATTATGTGTTTTAAGTTTTTGTGTGCTCCATGTTAATGATTCAAGTGTTCCAGCTTTTTTTTTTTTTTAAACGTTTCACTTATTCATCGTAAATGTTATTTATTTATTTCATTTAATATATTAAATGAGAGTGCATTTTCAGTGTAGAAAAATAAATAATAGTAATAAGTAAAAAGAAATTTTATACATATATATATATTTAAAATGAAATATTTATATCGTGTTTTTTTAAAAACATTTACTTATTTAGTGGGTTTGAAATTATATTTAAGTTGAAGACGCCTTGGTTATATAAAAATTGAAGAATGCCAACGCACTTTTTTATTTAAGGAAATTACATTTAATTTATGGTAGGTTACTAAATGATATTTAATTGATTCATATTTTTATGTTTTACAATGTACAATTTATTTTAATTGAATTATTATTAAGTATTTACTGAATGAAAGATTAACGTCATTATTATATGTATATATATAATAAAAATCAATTATCCATCGAGATATATTGTTAACTTTTTTTTATTTATTTATAAAACTTTATGAAATCAATTTTCGCCCTCAATTTCAATTGTAAACATTTCACAAAAAAAAAAAAAAAAAAAGTTATTAAGACAAAGAAAAACTATTTATACAACGTGTTTTATCTCTCATATTAAAAAAATTATAGTTTTTTTTTTTTTTTTTTATTCCTTTTGAACGGAATTTGAACTTGTTAAAGTTTGATTTACTAACAATTTATTTATTCTAATATTTTTCTAAAATTTAAATAATTAAGCGTTAATTGTGTAGTTCAACTTGAAAAAAAAACATTTGTTTATTTTTTACGTAACGTTTTAAAATAGCCTTTGCCCATCCATGGTAGTCATGCTGCTGCATTCACCATTTTTTAACTAATAAATTTTTTATTTATTTCGTGTAATGTTAATCAACGTTACAATTAATAATAATAATAACTGTCTAAACCGAAAATAATAATAATAATAATGAATATAATTTTTTTATAATGTAAAAGTAATGTGTTAAAATCGTGTCGTAATTTTTTTTTTTTTTTTATTAACTTTCATAATTTTCATATTATTTTACCCTTAAAAAAGATAATTTGTAATTTTTTATTTTTGATTTATTTAAAACATAATTTTTCATAAAATGTTTAATTATTTGAATTTTCAATAAATGATTAATCATTTAATTATTATCTGATTAAAGGTCAAATCTTCTTTTTAATTAGACTATCATGGATAATTGTTTGCTTTTTATATTTTGATTCTATTTATATTTATTTTTAAATTTTTTTTTTTTTATATGTGAGTGTATAATAATTTGTATGTAATAATACTCTGAAATAAATAAAAAAAAAAAAAATATTATTGTTATTAATAAGTTAAATGTTTTGAATATATGGTAAATAAGACATTGTAACAACAAGTATAAAAATAATAATAATTATCGAATGAGTTTATAATTATATGAATTTTTTTTCAGAATTTATCACTGTGAAAAGAAGTAATTTTTATTTATTTTCATTATTATTATTATTAGTTTTTTTTGTTATTGTTAAAACTTTATTTATATTCATTCTACATTGGAAAATGTTAAAAAGTGAAGATCCTGTTTTGAGTCACAAAGGAAAATACATTTCAAGATTAAATCATAATTCAAAAAAGGTTTGTTAATATTTACTTAACTTTAATTTAAATTTGTTCAATGTTTCCTACCAATCTAAATAAATAATTGGTTGCAAAGTTTTGTCTTCAACATTTTTTTTTAATGGTATACATATATATATGTATATATTAATTATTTATTTTTTCTTAGCGTATAAAATGTTTGTAAATATTAAATAGTAGTAAATTTGTATTTTCAGTTTTATTTGAGTTTTTCCCCTTTTTTTTTTTTTAAACGTATAAATTTTTAAATAAGATGCTTAAAAAAGTCGAGCTTTATATATTAAGGTATATAAAATAAATTTATCATAGTCCCATAGTTTTCCGTTTTTCAAATGTTGGCACTCTTTTTTTATAAATACTTATTAACCATTTGTCATTTATTTTTTATTTTTTCCAGGTTGAAACAATAAGATTAAGTTTTTTATTTAGGACTATGATTCAATTTCACTTGTTTGAATTAATTTATATGGCGGTTTTCCTATCGTCTGCAGCTCAGGCTTTAGCTTTTTGTCCAAACGGTTGCATTTGCGATGATGATACTCTGGTTGTGTCGTGTAAAGAAGCCAATTTGGACGTGATTCCCATAACTCTTAATCCGTCTATACAGCGTTTAGTGTTAAAAAACAATCGTATTAAAACGGTTGATGCTGCATTTCAATTTTACGGCGAACTTCAATACGTAGATCTTGCGTACAATCATCTAGTCAGCATTCCTATGAAGAGTTTTGAAGCACAGAAAAAACTTTTTGAACTTCATCTTAATCATAATAAAATATCATCAATTAACAATCAAACTTTCGTAGGTTTGAAAAATTTGGGAGTGTTAAGCTTACGTGAGAATTTTTTAGAAGAATTAAGTTCTAATTTGTTCAGTTCGCTCCCGAGTTTGCAAGAATTGGATTTAGGAGTTAACAGTATATCCGTTGTCGATCCTTCGGCATTTTCCGGATTATCTTCATTGAAAATATTGTATCTCGATGATAACCAACTTCGATCCATTCCGACGGGTTCTTTTTCATTATTGGGAAACCTGGCAGAACTCCACATCGGACTAAACGCTTTCACATCCCTTTCTGACGGTGCTTTCACGGGTTTGACAAAGCTTTATAAACTCGATCTCGTGAGTGCTGGACTCGTGAACATAAGCGAAGGAGCATTCAAAAAATTGACGGGTCTGAGAAGCTTGGGATTGGCTGATAATAGATTAGGATCGATACCCACTCGTCAATTGAAGATGATGACAAGGTTGGAAGAATTATCGTTGGGCCAAAATGAATTTAGAATATTGGAATCGAATGCATTTTTGGGTTTGTCCAACCTCCGTCGTCTGGACATATCCGGAGCTCCACACCTGGAAAAAGTCGAAAAAGATGCTTTTAGAGATAACTTAAATTTAGAAACGCTTGTTTTAAGTAGCAATAAAAGACTGTCGCAAATCGAAGAAGGCGCCCTTGCAGGATTACCAAATTTAAAAAATTTAGTTTTGCGCGACAACGCGTTTTCTTCTTTTTCCGAGTCTCTCGTGTCGTGGCTTGAACTTCACGAAATAGACATCGCGGAAAATCCCATCGAGTGCCGTTGCAGCTTATTATGGTTAAAGGAATTATTGATAAAAAAAAATATAAGTCAAATTCTCTGTGCGTCTCCGTCTCATTTGAAAGATCGCCGTCTGAGTACTCTTACGTCAGATGACATGGGATGCTCTTACAGTGATACAAGGCAGCAAGCAATAATAGGAGCCGTGTGCTGCATAGCAGCAGTAATTCTCGCGCTCATAGTTTTTTTTCTCTATCGTTACCGAAAATCTGTCCAAGACGTGCTCAAAGAGTACAAGTGGAATAACAGAGCGATAAGCAGAAAAGAACACGAATATCAGAAAACATTTTCCGATGACGATTTCATCGTTCGTGCAGCTCAACAGCCCACTCTCAAACCCATACCCGTGACAGAACTGTAGCTAGAGCTTTACGCCTCCAGCCCCGCACCCGGAGTTTTTTTCCTTCCGGGCAACGCGGGTACCGCTGGACGGCGACAAATGAATCTACAAAGACAATGTCAATCAAATAAAAAGGAAAACATTCCAGGAAACGGATTTACACTTTTCAGTGGAAAAGACATGGTTAGAAACAGTAATAATAAATTAAACGCCATTGATGTTTATCATAGAGCATATTCAACGAACGGATATAGTGCAACCCGTCCCAATTATAATTACGGCAATGAAACTTACAACGTGACCCCAAAAACATTAAATAAAAATAAAAACTGTTATTACTAAATAATAATATCAATACGAAATTTATTTTAATAATAAAACCTTCATAATATATTTATATATATATATATATATATATATCAAATAATAATAATAATAATAATAATAATAATAATAATAATAATAATAATAAAAATTACGTAAAAAGGTGGTATAAAAAATTAATCTTTTGTATATATATATATATATATATATGCATACGAGCGCACAAAATTTACACTTTTTGAAAAAACTACTAAAAAAGGAATTTTTTTTTAAATATGACTTTATGGAACATAATTTTATTGAGTTTAATTTTTTTTTTTTTTGGTCTTATTTTGTTTGATTCTGAACAAGGCGGGGGGTGGGGGCGAAGAGAAAAAAAAATACATATCACGGTTTACGATGTCATTTTATTTTTTTTTATTTTTTTTTCTAATTTCTTATATATATTTTTTTATATAGATATTTTTATTTATTTATTTTTTAACGTATTTTTGACTTTTTTTTTTGTAGAGAAGAAAAAACAAATGCAGGATGATGATAATAATAATAATAATAGAAAGTCAGTATTATTTGTTTATAAAAAAAATAGTTTTCGATAAGAATTTTATAATTTTTATAAAAAAGTTATACGAAAATGATTTTCTCTCATCTTTTTTTTTCCCCCTCTTTTAAAAAAATCTAAATCGAATGAATGATGTATATATATATTTGTAAAAATTGGAAAAGTATTATTATTATTATTATAATCGAGGCCAAAATGAATAAAAGAAAAAAAAAGTTATCATTATTATTAATAATTAAAATAAATAAAATAAAAGTTTTTTCTTTTTTTTTGTTACACTTGGGTAATATTGAAATTTAGTAATAACAGTTTGCCTTCCCCTCCCCTCTTTCCTATTATTATTATGTATATATATAAAAAATTGATATGTTAAAAACGACTATTTATGATAAAAGTAAAAAAAAGGTAATTTTTAGGTAATTTTTTGTCGTTGGTAAATGACGAAAAACTGAGTTTTCAATATCGGATAATAATAACGTCTTAAATTTCCAATAATAATAATAATAATAATAATAATAATAAAATTTTTATTCCTTACTTATACGGTTATAGAGAGTTTGTAATATTTGCATATCAGGTTATTTTTTTTTTCTTTTCTTTTATTAGTCTACTGAATTAGTAAGTGAATAATAGATTTTTTTTTTTTAGTATTATCGGAAAAATGATAAAAAAAAAAAAGGAAAAAAATTAGATTTTGTGAGAAAAAAAAAAAGGAAAATTTAAAAAAAAAAAAAAAAATACTTACTGTTGTTAAGTGCCTGTCATTATTATTGTGGTACGTCCATTCAATTATTGTATTATTGTAAATAATAATAGTTATATGTATTTTACTTTTTACTCATTATTATTATTATTATTATTTTTTATTAGTAATCACGAATATATATATAAATTAATTAGTTTATATATATATATATATGTATATGGCTTTTTATATTTTGACGAAAACTTTTTTTCTTCCAATTTTGCTACTAATACTAATACTACTCCTCTCTCTCTCTCTCTCTTTCAATTTACTTCTTTGAGCAAAAAGTCAGGTGGTGTAGCCAAATTTTCAGGTTCGTATTTGTTTAATAGAGCCAATGTGTGCCAGAATCATCGACTGCTTTCAATTATTATTATTATTATTTCTGTTACTTACCGTTGTGTTGCCTGAGACCCCTGCTACGTGCTCGAGAAAACAAAAAGTTTTTTCCAAATCCTTTTTAATTTTTTTTTCTTATTAGGCCTTAATAATTCCGTCCACCTTGGATGATGATTAAATTATCCAATTTTGGTTTTACACTTTTTGTGTGTAAATCAAAATTTTGGCCCATTGGATTTCTGAAAAAAAAAGAAAAAGAAAATTTTTATCTCCATCCACGTCATGGCTACAATTTAAATTTAAATTTTTTTTTTTTTGTAAATGATTCATTTGAACGATTTCGGTTGTACATATATATATTTTTAAATTCTTTCCATTTGTTCATTATTATATATATATATATATATATATATATATATATATATATATATATATATATATATATATATATATAAATACGGGTAATATATTATATAATATTATAATATTATAAAAGTGTTGAAATTTTTTTTTTAAATTCATAACAACAGAAAATTTTTCTTTCTCTCTCTTTCTCTCAAATTATATAATAACGAATTTAAAAAATTATTTATATATATATATATAATGGTTTTCCCTTTTAATTTTTTATTTTAATCATTTATTATTATTATTATTAATAAATTAATTAATAATTAATTTTTTATTTTATTGCTTTTAAAAGGGAGATTAATTAAATTTTTCAATTCGATGTTGACAAACAAACAAAAAAAAAAAATTAATCATCAATGGCTTATTTTTAATTTTATTATTATTATTATTATTATTATTTATTTATTTTTTTTATGCATGTATATCGATCAATATATATATTTAAACATTTTTTTTTGCTAATTTGTAATTATTATTATTATTTTTTTTAATTAATAATTTGCTCCAAGTTAATAAATAAACCTGTTGAATAATTTTTTTTTTTTTTTCAAATAATAAATTCTAGTCTTAATTTTATTATTATTATTATTATTTATCCATAATTTCTTTATATATATATCATCATTATGTTCTGTATTTTAAAAATTGTAATAATAATAATAATAATTAACTTGTGTACAGAATAAAATAAATAAAAAAAAAAAAAATTATTTATACCATGACTTGTAAGTTTTTATTTTAATAATAATAATAATAATAATAATATTTAAATTATTTATTTAATTCATTCTTTTCTTTGTTCCTGGATGAATCCTATAATAATAATAATAATAATTGATATCCGTTTTTTTTTTTCTAAAATAAAATTATACATATAATCAATCACAAAAATTGTGAAATTTGAAAACATAAATATGAAAATAAATTGAATTGTTCCCAAGATATTAATAAATAAATTATTAAAAAATTTTCAATAATGACAAATAACTTAAATAATATATATTAATAAATTCCGCCATTTAAAAAAAAAATAAAATAAAATAATAAAGTGAAAATAAATTTTTTTAAAAGCGCGACACAACATAATGATCTTTGACGAAGGTGGTCAAATAATAAAATTAAAAATTTGTTTCCCTCCTTCCCCCCTGTCCCCCTCACTCCCCGAAAATTCGTTTATGTATATGTTTGTTATTACTTATCTATATGGTAATTATGAAATTTAAATCAAACCACAGAAATTTTATTAAAATAAAATTAACAAAAGGCAATAAATAATTATTTATTTGAGATTCTGCGATTTGATTTGAATTCATATTCAGGGTGGATTCAATCACGTGACTAACAAATTAAATCCCAGAAAAAAATTTTTCTTTTTTTTTCCGAACGTTTTCCCTCTCACAAAATTCCTATATAAATTAAATTGTTTATTTTATATTATTAAAATAAATTAATAAATAAACACACGGAAATAATATTATTAAAATATTGTTAATAATAATTAAATATTAATTAAATTCAATCTTTTTTATCAATTTATTATTATTTTAAAAAAAAATATATTTAAGAACAAACTTAAATATCTTGTACAATAAATTCGAAACAGTTAGTAACTAATTCTAATTATTATTATTATTATTATTATTATTTCATTTAATTACATTGCCATATGTATACAAAAAAAAATTATCATTATTATTATTATTATTACTATTTTTTCTTATTGTAATATCTTCAAAAAAAAAAAAAAAAAAAAAACGAAATTTTTCTTTATGCAAGAAACTTAAAAAATTTTATTGTAAATAAAAATCCCAAAATATTATTTATAAATAAAAAAAAAAAAAAAAAATTTCCCATTGACATTTTTTCATTTTTTCAATTACTTAAAGTATCAAAAAATATTATTTCCCTTTAAATACACAGTTTCCATATTTGATATTTAATAGTTATTATTATTATTATTATCAACATCATCATTTAAGGTTTAACAACTGGTGGTAGAAAAGCGCTTTTTAAAATAAAATAATTAATAATAATTGATATTAAATTAAATTTTAAAATTAAAAAAAAGAAAAGTTTTATTATTATTATTATTATTATTGTGGTTGTTTTTGTTATTATTATTTGAGATCAGAAATTAAAAAAAAAAAAAAAAAGAAAAAAATGTTAACGTTTTTTGTTTTTTTTTTTCCTTCCACATTTAACCGCATTTTTAATAAGAACCCGCGATTATATTTATTCAAACTGAAATTTTATAATAAAATAATATATATATATATATATATATATATATATATATATATATATATATATATATATATATATATATATATATATATATATATATATAATACTTAAAAAAAAAAAAAAAAAAAAGAAAAGAAAAGAAAGAAAATATATATGTATCAACACATTACTCTTACTCGGGGGTGACAATTAATAAAAAAAAACTCATAAAAATTAAAATACACAGTTTTCATATTTAATTTAATATTATTATTATTATAAATAATTAAATTGATTTATGCCCTAATTAAAATTCTTATGCATTTTCTCGAATGCCAATAATAATAATAATAACAATAAAGTTAAGTTTTTCAACCAGTTACTTTCTCTCTCTATAAAAAAAAAAAAAAAAAAAAAAAAAAAAAAAAAACCTATTTTTACCGTAAAAATAATTAGAAATATAACTAAAGGATTAACAAAGGTTTTTTTTCTTTTTTTTTTTTTTTATTGCCCCTTTAAAAAAATAATAAAATTTTTTTTTTTTTTTTTTGTTACAACCCACCGCAAATTTTTTTTTTTTTTTAAAATTTTTTTTTTTGTTTTTTTTTTTTTTTTTAAATTTTAAAAATATTTCCTAAAAAATACTTTTTTTTTTTTTTTTTTTTTTTTTTTTTTTTTTCATTATGTGAACCGATACGACAAATTTTTAAGGAACAGATTTTTTTCTTTTTTTTTTGTTTTTTGTACCCGATTTAAAAAAAAAAAAAAAAGAGTAGTAAATTATCAATACGAATATTGATACTAACTAAAATCAAAAACATCAAAACAGATATATATATATATATCATTGATTGAGGAGTAAAAAGAGAGGAGAAAAAAAAAAGGAAAAAGTGCTCTACTCCTTTCTTATAACTGCACATCAGTTTCGGGGTCACTGGCAATATCAGAGTCTTCTAAATATTCTTCTAAAAACTCTGAAGGATTTGAATAATTTTGAACTGACAAATCACCGGAATTTTCCTCGATATCTGACCTGAACATTTCTGTAAATATAAATCCGTAAAT